TACTCAATCTATACACTTGACCTAGAAATTCTTTGTACGTGATTGTACTATACACTGTCAATCCCCTCGTATGACCGCCGACATAATCTTTTTCACTATCATTCCATTCTCCATCGAATGTTATGAAAACACGAGGCATCCTGCAAATAGATAAAACTAAGTGAGATAGGAAAATCGATCATTCAGAAATAAAATATTAAAAATTAATAAAATAAATAAATGTCTCTCGAATGAATCTTGGACCAGTCTTGGTTCGAGACGTGTCCCGGACAAATCTCGAAGCAAGACTGGTCCAAGACATGTCCCGGACTAAATATGCTTCGAGATTAGTCCAGGACATGTCTCGAACCAAGACAGGTTCGAGATATATCCGAGACAATCCCGAAACATGATGCAGGATTGTTTACATTCAATCTCGGACCAGGTATAGATCCGGGATTGAAGTAATTACAACAATCTGATTTTTTTTCTTGTCAACAACCCAATCTAATATTTGAACCCATTAATGGGAAAATATTTCAAATAAGTTCAACAATTATAGAGTATAAAAGTTTGTGTAAACGTAACATACCTAACTTTCACAAGTGAAATTGTGGGGACAATGATTTTGGATAGTGTGGGGACGAAGATCAAACACGTTGATACTTTGAGCAGATTTTGAAAACGCGAACTGTGAGTTTTAGATAATGTGTTTCAAGTTCAAACATATGTAAAATATGAGTTTACAGTTTGGTGAAATGGTTAGGTGGAAATCATAAATGCACATATACTATCAATGAGTGTAAGTTCGTCTTTTCACATGAATAAAATATTTAAGGGATCATAAATAAAAGATGGAGGGATCACAAATTAGGTTTTTTGAAAATGGGGTCATTTATCCAGTTTCAGTTATTGAAGGGGTCACAAATTCAAATTTCTCAACTTTTAACTTCTACCTCTTATACCTACCTTATTTTATTATCCATCGAAAATTATTGAATTGAAAAGGATAAAATTATAATATTCAAATTACAACTTCTAATTTACAAAAATATTATATTCTTAATTTTTTGAGAAAAAATTAAATGAACAACTTAAGAATAAAAAGAAAAATAATAGGAATGAGTTGCTACTTTTTTTTTTCTTTTAATTTTAACAATGCCAAAAAATTGACCCATCATTCATATCCTCGTCGTCCCAATCCCTCTCATCCTCTTCTCCTCCACCGTATCATTCACATCCTCCACCACACATGATGACTCCAGCGAGACGACCAAATCAATTGAGATTCTAACCCACACAATTTTCACCAATTTATTGAATTGATCATATAAACGAGCGTTCGCCTTGTCGAGGACAATGGATGATTTTGTGGAAGCTAAAATGGTCGCAACGTGAGTGGAGAAATTACGGCGCATATAGTATTTCACTAAAAGTATCGTCGCATAATGGACCTTCATCGAAATTGAGAGAACACTTTGAGAAGATCTTAGTAGAATATAGATCGACAATTGCGACGACTCTTATTGAATTGGCCGATGAGGGGCTTTCTATGTATGAACTCTACAATCACCGATTCATCTTTGTAACGCCCCAGGCCCAGAATTCGGAATCTGGATTCTGCACTTCTTTGCCCCGGCATTCCCCTGCATCCCCTAAGACCCAGCCGCGTCATTGCCTAGTTCTGAACTACTTAGAAGAGCGTAGACTATCCCTACAGACCAACACGAGTCCTTCTAGGTCAAGTACGCTTAACTTTGGAGTTCTTACTATTAAGCCACCGAAAAGGAAGGTGCACCTTATTAGTATATGTAGTAACTATCATTTCTTTTAAGCTTTCTTAACCATACTTTCTATGGTTTCAGGATCCCTCTCACTCAGATGTGGTATCGGTTCATTCTAGTTGGGCGTTACAATCTTAGACTTAGAAGCCTCAAGAATTATATAGAAAGGAGAAAGAGGTAGAAAAAATCTTTCAAGTTCCATAATTAGTACTTAGATGGTAGCCTTTGAATAGAGGGAGAGGAAGAAAAAACACTTTGTTAATATTGATTTAATAATGTGTTTCTTGCTACCATTTATCCTTTTGGGCCTCTTTTACTTGTTATATTTTTATGACTCATTCTTCTTTAAGTAAACTCAACTCATCTAAGTCTAGCTCTTGTTTTGTAAGGCTTATTTAAGTATCTTTATCCCTCTTTGTTGAGGACCCTAAGGGAGAACAAGAATAGAGAGAGAGGAGAGCCACCTTGAGAGAGAGGTCAAACCGCCGGTTTCACCCACCTTTGATTCCATTGTCGTCGCCGATCACAATGCCATCAAGGTTGGGTAGAAATCAACGCCGCCGCCTGATTGAATGGAAAACGACGCTGCTGTCGTAGTGGTCGTGCAACCGTAAGGTTCTTTGGTGATTTTGTTCAAATCCGGGCTTGAATTCGGTGTAGATCTAAGCGTAGAGGTTGTATCTCTCTATCTTTGTTGGTTCTTAACTATTCATGAAGAGATTTACATGTATTTGAGATTGCTCCTCAGATCTCTTCAAGATCTTGAGTAGAAGCTTTTTTGAATTGTTGATCTTGACTCTCTATTTTAGAATTTTGATTCTGTTTTGGTGTATATGCCTATTGTGTATCTGTAAATTCGATCTTTGTAGTTAATAATAAAGACTTGTAGGGATATTATGTTTGCACAGTGGATGTAGGTCCTATTTTAGGACTGAACCACTATAAATCTTGTGTCGATTCTCTATTTTACATTACTGTTAATTGCTGGAAATTATCTAAAGAATAATTGAAATGCTGCTGTGATTATTCGCGTCTTAGTTAGCATTTGTAAATACTCTTTTAGGCTTTAAAGAACTCATTAACTAAAAAATTTGATTCTGGAATTTATATAAAATTATAACACCTTCAAATTACATAATTAAATACTCAATTAAAATAGATGATAAAACTTTTCATATTCTAACTTTTTAAATGCAAAATTGAGTGAAATTATAATTTTAAAATAAAAAAAAGAGATAAAAAGATTTATTTTTGGGTGGATTAATTTGAGTAATGAATTTGGTTGGGTGGAGAAATAATTAATGAAAAGTGAATGAGAAAGAAATACAACCAGGGATTCAAGAGAGATCAAATGAATTTGAGAAAAGTGGACTTATAAAAGTGGAGATAAAGTATTTAAAAAATAAATGAAGAAGAGCAACAACAGAAGAGAGGAATGGGGAAAGTGGCGTGGGAATAGGAGAAAGAGGAAGAAAGTAGGAGAGATGACAAATTTGCCATCAAACTTTTGTAAAAATTAGTTATGAAGGAAGAGTAAAATTGACCTAAAAAGTTTCTCTCCATCCCACATTTTGTATATACTATAGATTGTTGAGGGTGAAAATCGAGCGGATGACACGACCAGCTCAAAGGGTTACACCTAGATGGGGACCACAAATTTAATGGGATGTACGATTGAGTGAGGACACAGCCTGGGTACCTTCTACATGGTACGTGTAACGCAACTCATCTTGCAGACGACAGTCTTACAAAGGGACAAAATGGCAAGTCACAGTACTACTATCACATCACAACGATGTCTCTTAACCACCCGTTAATCTTGTACGATATCTACCCTAGCCCTAGCTACCACGAATAGGACGTCCTCCCTGGTCATATGAGGGTGTCCAAAAAGGAAGAACCACCATGATCATAGGGTAAGTGAAAAACATGTCACTAATTTCCTAAAGTGCTCTCTGCTATATTTCTCTCCGATTAATAACTTGACCCTTGGAGACTATTAAGCAAGACACCACATCGGTGTCAAGGATCATTGTTGCAGGCTCATTTATCCGACAACAACCCGTCTCGAATGACATGAGGACCTCTCCAAAACTCGCCATCAACTGATTAATATTTTTTCCTAGTTGAATTACGATCATGTATTAATTGTTAACATATTAAAAGATATGATGTTGGAGAATTATTTTTAGATAATTTTTCCCACTCTTTAATTTATAATTTTCAATAATGTCATTAATGTTGTTTCTTCATTTGATTCTTCAAATATATAGTTTTATCTTTTAACATGTGAGATAATTGAGAATCATTTTTTAACCTATTTATCACTTTTTTTTTTATTTCATTAGTTCTCACTAAAATTGGAAATGGTATGTGATATTTGAGTCGGAGACTATATGAAGTTTTATAGGGCTCTATAACCTCTTATATAGTCACTTATCTAATACAATAATTAAGAAAATAGTGGATAAGGATTGATTGATGGGATAAAACTCGTGACTAGCTTCTTATCCCTTTCGAATATGCTTATTTGACATAAAAAAACGAAAAAAACTAACTAACTACATTATTACATACATACTAATTACAAAAGGTAAGTCCTCATGGATGCCATAATCAATTTTGCAAACCAACCCATGGATTTTTCTACTATTTTTAGGTTTGCAACTATTTGAGTATCTTCATGGTAAAAAATACTGATATTAGGTTAAACTACACGTTTGATATCTAAATTTTTAGAATGGTATCTATTTAGTCTTTATATTTAAAAAAAAAAAATCAATATGTCCCTAAATTTTTAAGGTGGTATTTATTTAGTCATTGTATTTTAAAATGTTTCTAATAGATTTATGATCATGTCGTTGTTATGTTTATTTAAATTTGTGCTACCAAACACCTAATAATGCATCCTTTAACATTCCGAATTAATCTGAAACGATTTCAAATTTCAAGATTTTAAATTAAGGAAATGATTTCAAATTCTTTAGAGAGAAGGTAGAAAGTAAAAACAAGGATACACAAATACAAAGTAAGGTTAGGCAACTAAAAATATGTGATTCGTACGAGATCAATAGTTGAACACATTATGATTTTTTTTTTCTAAATGTCGTCTTCCACTTTTCAAGTGGTAGACATTTCAAAGTGGAAATGTGTATCATCATGTTGCCGCTCTATTACTTGTTGCCTCCATCAATAGTCCACTACCTGATGTGTTTTCATTCAATAGAGCAGAACTTCTTCTTTTCTTCTTATACGTGTGTTGGAGTTGGTGAAGTCAAATCGACATCGGAATGAACTAGAGATAAGTCGGTACGAGTCAGGGCATCGAAGGAAATGGAGGTTTGGACGGCTATTTTGGCCGAGGCAGCAGTGCCACGGTGCTAACACAAAAACAAAGAAAAAAAAGAGGGGCAGCATCGAGACGCTCCGAACATATAGGCGGAAATCATAGGCACGCGAGCTTGTTTCTTCAGCGTTGCATGTCCATAGCGTTGAGACGCGATGCTACCTCGATATATGTAAGGATTATTATGTTTTGTTTAAGGGCAGCTGTGAGATTGATTTCATATTCGTTTTGGGGGATTTTTGTGGCGTTTCAGAGATGACGACTTGGGGTTATTGGCAGCAGAGGGGTGGAGCAAGATCGACGTATTTGGGTAATTAAATCTTGTTCTATTTGTGAGTTTTTCATTTATGGACCTAAGTATATAGTGTTTAAATACTTAGAAGTTATGGGGTTTTTGTTGGGACCTCTAGAGAGTATATGTCTGAAACCCGCATCTAAGTGGAAGACTGTATGTAACCTATAAACTATTGCGGCGAATCAGTATAAATTATGTTTATTGATTTCTCTATATTTCTTTTTGTGTTGTGTGATTGACTTAGTTAATTGGATAATTGTGGCCAAAGCGAGCATTGTTAAGTGTAATTGGCATATATTTTCAGTCAAGAGGTTGTGAGTTCGATCCCTCATCCCCACATATTATACTAAGAAAAATTGTATAACTATGGAAGGGAAAATTGTTTGAAATTCTAGAAAATTAAAAATAATAAATAATTTACAAACACGTTTCTATTTCTTTACAAAAAACAAATAAACATTATCAAACGAGTATTTACTATATACATTAAGTCCTCAATTGTGATGCCAAACTCGATTTTGGAAACCAACCGTGGATTTTAATGACGGTATTTTAAAATGTTTCTAATATATTGAGATTAGTAAATAGATGGTCTATTTAGGAGACCTAATTACATAAAATGATTGAAAGTTCTAGAATTTACACTTTTGTCTAACATAATTCCCAAAATAGATGTACCCATAATAGAAATTACTAATATATTTATCTCAATATTAAATCATTAATAAAATATGAAATTGATAAATAATTATTAAAATATACCAAATCCCTAAAATTAAGCTAACTCAAATTTCCAAAATTGAGATTTTTAGAAACCCACGATTTCGTAACCTCTTCATCTCCGTCGGTTTCTCCCTCTTCACCGCTGCAACTGTAAGGTTTCTCCACCTTCAAGGTTCTCGTCGCGTTTCTCAAGATATTTCTCCAGCGGGTGTTTCTCCATTCTTTGCAGAAGATATCTCTGACGGCCTCCGTCGCATTTCATAAGGCAACATCGTCACTCTTCCTTCGTCTCTGGCGGCTACGTCGACCCATTACACTATAAGTTATAATTTCATCTTCTACCTCCGTCGCATGAGCAATCCAGTCCGTCATGTCCCCTTATACCGTATTTTATGCTATATTTAGATTTCAATTTTGCACAGAATCGAGGTATATAGTTCTTATTGTATATGCTCAATTTAGGTTTTCATTTTTTGACAGAATCTGTTGCTCTCTGGTTCCATTATCTTTTGCTATCTACTATTATCATTTATAACACTGTATATTGGAGTATATATAATATAGTGATACTGATTATGATATATAATATATATCTAGATTAAAGTATCTCCATATATACCAGTGAAACAATTTCCATGAAAAATGTATTAGGATATATAATATATCTCTAGTTTACAATGGACTTTCGATATTACATTGGTATATACGAGTATATTTTTCTTTATTCGTTTGTTCTGAGTAACATATGTATGGTGATATATAGTGTTTAGATAAGGATATATATTATATCTCAAGATTTATGTATCTCGATATATACAGATGGTGATTTAAAGTTAAAAATCTATTGGATATGTACCGTTAATGATCTACATCAATACATACGGATAAATTTTATATCTCATAAGGTTTAGTCTATGTTATATCAGATATATTATATATTCAATATATTATACTTTATACCATGTCTTATAGGACTTCATATTGGCTTTCAGCTAGGATTATTTGTCCTGTAATGAGCCTTTACTATTTTACATGTTTTAGGTGGATATATATTAGTTCAATTACGTTAACATGGTCAAGTGCAAATGACTACCAAAACAAAAGGAAAGAAGAAGAAGTAATAGGTTACTTAACCATTTTGAAATATTGTAGCACCGTGCACCATAGCATAAATCGAAGGGAAAGTGTTCGTAGCACCGTAACAGACGACAAGGATGTTGTGCTGAGCAGTGAAAGAAGAAGAAAAACGGGATACCTTGGACGTGAAGGAAGAAGAAAATTGGAAACAATGGAGGAGAGATTAAATAAATCTTTTTTGAGGGATTTGGAGGAGAGAATTAAGGAATTTGAATTGACAATTACTACGGGGCACACATTTATTAAATGATTGTGATATTAATTTATGGAAATAACAATTTTATATTTCAAAAAATCAAAATCCCTTAATAAATGAAAATGCAATCAATAGGGGTAAATTCGAAATTAAATTAAAATCCTACCTGCAGAAATCTGAAAGTGTAAATTTATAAAATTTTAGACATTTATGTAAATAAGTTTCTAAAATAGCCCAAGATATTATCTCTAATATATTTATCATCTTTCGATAAGTACCTTGTCCTGTTTATTTAAATTTGGGTCAAATGCCTAATAATGCACCATTTAGCTTAGTTTCATGATTTTAAATAATTGAATGATTTCAAATTCATAACTGTGTTTAAACTAAATTGATTCTAAATCATTGAATTTAAACTTTATATTTTAATGTTCTGAAAGAAAATATAATATTTTACTGTTATGCCCTTATAATTATACAAAATATTATATTGATAATAATATAATATTTTAATATCAACTATAATCATGAAGAAAAGAAATAATTTGCTCAAATCAATTAGACAAAATAAAAAATTTCAAATGACATCCTTATTTAAAAAAATAAACAAAAAAAATGAAAATGTCTTGATAAATAAAATAAAATAAAATAAAAACCCTTAAAAGTTAAAAACTATTACAAACCAATGTTTTAAACGTCCCTTGACACATCGGACGGCTCAACATCCATACATCGGATTGGGGGAGCGCTTGACTTTGCTCTTCTTTTTTTTACTTTATTTCTTTCCTATTGTTATTATTATTTAAACTTATTTATTTATTTCAATTTTGACTATTGACCATCTTATTTTTATTCTCATTGATTTTTTTGACATTACACCTATTTTTCTTTTCAAATATAATTACAAATTTTCAAACATATTTTTCATTTTCTAATAACTCAATTTAATCATCATATATGTGTATATCAATATTTTATATCTTGTTCAATTATGTAACTAAGATTACATTTGGTTATAAATTATTAATAAAACATAATTAAGTAATGTTGAACTTCAATTTACTAATTCAAATTATTTTCATTAATCTTTGTTATCTTGTTCCGACATTTCTATCGACATATGACATTTTCATAAGTAAGTTATTCATATTTTTACATATGATCAATAAAAAGTTGTCAATTATAACTTAATTAAGCTACCATTAAAGTTTTATTTACTAATTAAAATAATTTTTATTAACTTTTACAATTTCCGTAATTTTTCCCAAACATCCATCGACATCGACATGTCTATCGATCGACATGTCTGTACAATCGAGATCTCGATATTTCCATCGACATCAACTTTTCGAAACTTGTTTCAATTTTCAAACGGCCTAAACCAACTAAACGAAATAGAGAAATCAAATGTCCCTCTGTTCCTTTTCTTTGACTGAGGATCCTTCCTCTCTCTTTATCTCAATTTGTTCACGTCGCATTAAAGTTTTTTTATTTATGGTTAAAATGTTATTTTAGTCTCCGTACTTTGAAATCCTCGTTTAATTCTAGTCATTGAATAAATGAAACTTTAGTATAAAATAATGTTTACATTTCAAGAAATATATTGATTTTAGTGTGGTGTTGAAATTGTGATAGAAAAAAATCAGATTAAGAATAAAATTAATGAACCAAAATAGTCACTTTCTAAAAATACAGGGACCAAAATGAATATTTTGAAAGTACCGAAACTAAATGAACCAACATTGAAAATACACGAACCAAAATGAACTTTTTGAAAGTATAGAGACCAAAATAAATAAAAGCTGAAACTACATGGACTATATTTTAACATTTATTTATCATAGTTATTCTACCTATGCAGTAATAACGAAATAATTAAAAAGAAGGTTAAAAAGAAAATCAACCAAAAAGAATAATATCAATGTAAACAGATTAAATACAAGAAAAACAAAACAAAATAGAAAACCCAACATGATGTTTAGAATAAAAGAAAGCTACGTAACACAACAAAGCAAAATTGGAAACTAACCTTAGCCTGCGATGTAAAAGGGTTGAAGTTGATTTTTTTTTTTAAACTTAAAATTCTCACAAATCCGACTTATTTAAAAGGAACAATCATTGGGCAAAAATCGAGATTTCAAGTTTTTTTTTTCCTTTTGTTTTTCAAACCAAACCCAAGGATTACAAAACCTTGTCCTTCCAAATCACAAGTTCCGGCTTAAATGTGTTAAACTAATTATAATGCAAATTTATTAAACATAAAATTGAAAGTTGAAACTATCTAAAATTTTAAAAGCTATGGCTAAAGTTAATAATGTATATAAAATGTCACATCATCTCTGAAATGAATATATTTTTTCACATCATTTAGACAAATCTAAATTAAAGAGTTAGACTCATTAATTCAACTGTCACATAATTTTTGTTTTTAATATACTAACGTTAATTTGTTTTCAGGGACTCTTTAGAACTATTTTCTAAAAATCAAATATCGGTTTGGGAAATTAAGGGACCAAATAAAAATATATCCTCAAATTTATGGACTAAAAAGTATATTTTACATTTTTTTAATATGCAATGATGAGTAGACATTACTTTAAAAGTTCAAAACCAATCTTATAATTTAACTTTGAGATTATAAATTTGAAAGGGAAAATTGCTTCCTACCCATAAACTTGGTATCATTTTACTAGAAAGTTGAAAAATTATCGATCAATATTACAATTTTATCTAATAGAATTTTAACGTTAGAAAGGCTTTGCAATTTTTTTAAGAGAAATTTTATTGAGTAGCTAAATTTTATATTTACAAAAATATCAACCTCTTTTATATTTTGAAAATATGGTAAAATATTTGAATTTTTATTATTCAAGTTTTACCCTTATGATATCTGATATACACCCGATGTATATCTGATATAGGCCCGATGGATATATATCTGATATACGCACGATAAATGTATATCTCATATATGTTTGGTGTATATTTGATATACGTCCGATATATCTCAGATATACTTTCGATATATCTCCGATATACTTCCGATCTATATCAGAAGTACGTATCATACATCTAATATACATTTGATGTACCTCTAATGTACATTTGATGTATATCAGTGGTATACTAAATATATTTGTAACTGCTATACTAAATATAAGGTAGATACTAGATATAAGGTATATCAAATGTTTAATTTTTAGTGGTATATCAATTGTTTAATTGTAGTTTATCACTGCAATTTGTTGATTGATATACTAGTATTATCAATAATTTTGATTACTATATCAACTATCTAATATATATTAATATTAATTAGATACTAAATCTAAGAGATATCAATTGTTTAAGTTTATAAAGTATATCAAACTTTTAATTTTGTTTTTTGGACGTCCATGGTCCATATCAATCTTTTATACATTAATTTTAGATTTTTTTTTACACCAACACATAGATAGCATAGTTATATCAGTAGATATCATGGTTATATCAATGATAAATTAGAGGCATATTAAGTATATATCACAAATGCATCAATGTTATATTATAAGTTACATAAGTAGATATCATAGTTATATCAGTGGTAAATTAAAAGCATATCAAATATATATATAACAGATATATAAGTGTTATGTTAGCATGGTAAATCAATGGTAAATTATGTAATCATATAAGAACTTATATCAGTAGAAATCATAGTTATATCATACGTATATCAGTGGTAAACCATATTATAAGTTATATGGGTAGATATCATAGTTATATCAGAAGTAAATTAATTGTATATCAGTATTATATCAGTGGTATATCAAAGAGATATCAATTATATATCACACGTATAGTTGTGGTAAATCAATAAATAGTAAATAATATAATCATATAAGAAGTTATATTAGTGGATGTCATAGTTATATCAGTGATATATCAATTGTATATCAATAGTAAATTAGAGGTATATCAAGTATATATCAGTATATATCAGTTGTATATCAATAGTAAATCAGAGGTATATCAAATATATATCTGATATATATATCAGTGCTACGAGGGTAAATCTGATATTTTATTATTGGACCTATATTTTTTCAAAATATTTTGCTATATTTGAAAATCTAAAATGTAGATGCTAAATTTATTATTTCCTTAATTTTTTTTTTTGCCATATTTACAAAGTTATAAAGTACAAAGTTGATGAGAAGATATGTGCATCGGTCAGACCTTTTTCTAAATTTTAAATAATACTATTAAGCTTATTTTAAAAATAATGCTAATTCGTACAATATTTTGAAAATTCATCCATTAAGAGATGATCAAGTCTACTTCAACAATAGATCGTCTCCTCAAGAGATGACCATGCAACCACGTTATTTTGAAATATATATATATAGATATATATATACACACACAAAACCTCCCGCTCTGATACCATGTTGAGGATGAATAAACCACCACTCAACCCAAAAGCTTAAGCTGATGGATTAAGTAAATTTAATTCATTTATGGATCTCTAACACTCCTCTTCGCTTGTAGGCTTGGATAATTGCACAAAAACCTAACAAGTAGAAATCATAACAAATAAGGAAGAAATGATAATGTAGGGGTTCGAACACAGGACCTTCTGCTATGATATTATCTTAAGGATGAATACCGGATCTAGGTGGCAGTAGAATTTTTAAAATAATTTAGAATTAATATTATTTTCAAAATAAATTAAGTCCCACGTGGTCGCCAAAATGGACGGGATATGGTGGCCACTGGCCAGTGACGTTCAAAATGTCAAATAAACAATCTGAATTCTGATTCGGTGGGCTGGTTCTGCTTTTAATTTATTATTGTTTTTTAATCAAACCATTTTTTTTTTCCCTTTGTTTAGTAAAATGGTTGGTAGAGTTGCCAATTTGGAAGTGGAATGTGGAAATATTCTCAACATGACAATAATTTACTATTTTTCTTTTAACAATAGTTGGTTGCATATTCGATAACTTACACACTGTCGTTCTTTTTTTTCCCCCTTTTTTTTTAATTAATTCCACAAGCCAAATCACAGCCTGCCTTTTTCATCCTCCCACAAACCGGTTGCCGGTTACCGTATCCAACTTTCAACGCTATCCACTAAAACCACCTACCCACCATATCTTTGCAATTGCAAAGCACAATCCAACCACAACAACCATTTATTTTTTCTTTCCTTTTAAATAAATAAAAAAATGCATGTGTATTTAAAAATATTGGTTTTGTTCTTGACTTATTAGTTTTAAAAGTATAAATCTGTTTTTGAAATGGTAAGATTTTTCTTTTTCTTTTTCTTTTTTTGCCAAAAAAAAGGGAAAAGTAGAACTGATTTCACGACTTTAACTTTTTTCAAAAAGAATTTAAATAACAAGTTAGTTTGCAAGAAGGAATTTTCAACTTCAATCTCGAGGAGTTATTAATTGCGAAACTAATTTAACTAAAAACAAAAAAAATTGATTTCACAGTTTGAACTAAAAAAAAAATCATTTAATTAGCTTGAGGAGTTATTACTTGTACCACTAATTCAACTTTCGTTTAAATCGAGAAATCTGAGTACTATTATATAGCTTTGTATCGACTAAATTCACAAATGGAAGATAAACAGGCTCGAGAAATTGACAAATGTTATAGGGTAAATTATCGCCTCTCAACCCCTTATTGATTCTAATCATAGAGGTCGATGATAGGCAATAATCCACTCGAACATAGCTTACACCTTTCATCGTATTTGCGCTCTCCAAAGAAACTATTCTCAAGATCTCAAAAAGTACGGAGTTCGAATCTCATTACAACTTAAGGATTCTTGTAGTTTTGGAGAATCAAGCTACAGAAGAATTGTGAAGGGAGAGATTTCCCCCATTTGATAATATTAAATAAAATATAGAAATTAAATCAATGGGTGGAATCTACTTCAAACGTGATAATCAAGTTACACATGGAAAAAAGGTAAACTCGTTCTTCTTCTCAAACCTCGCATCACATTCACGTTATCTTTTAGCACTACAAGTGAGTGTGGGAGATTCGAACTCATGATCTCTTTATCAAAAACAAATGTCAATTACTGAGCCAAGCTCATGTTAACGCGTTTCTATTTCACTATTCTCGCACATTTTTTTAATTACTTTATGACTTATAACCTTTTCTCTCTCGTAATTAATTGATTCAAAAGTTTACTAGTTTTCTAGTTTTCCCTTTTTTAATAAATGATTAGACAACTTTTTAGCTATGTGCTTCTATGTTTTGTAATTTTTAAGCCTAGTATCAAAAACTAAAAAATTAATTTTAAAAATTCATCTAAAAATTCAAATGTGTGTTGCAACACGTCAAATAAATTATAAAGAAAGAAGCAAAATATCTATAAATCGGAACCTTAATGAATTTTTACTTTGGAATTCATTATTATCAAATATTATAAACAATTATAAAAGTCTGCGGCTTCTGTTGAAGGTTCATTTCAGATATTATAAAAATGGAAAATATGAAATAATTGCAGAACGAAGTCTTGGAATTGGAGCTGAGAGAAGTAGCAGTTGCGAACCAGAGGAGCATATTGAAGTCCACGCCGAGGGAGAGGTTGGAGCTCGAGGATGTTCTCTGTGTTCAATCTGTTCTAGATCATCGCATATATTTGAGATTCAAACTCCGGGTACGATCACTTGCCACTATACCTTGGAAGCTTTCATGAACATTTGATTTGATCACGCTCAAAAAGAAAAAAAAAGTTTGTGTTTATTTTTTGATTTCATTTCGTGAGGTGTTTTTTCTCTTCGGAATTTTGATCTTGAGGTTCTGTTCTCATGGAATTAGGTGGTGTTTTTGTTTTACGCCACGTATTTTTCCGATTCGGTTCTGATTTTGGTTTTATTCCGGAAATTAATGGATTGGGAAATCTAATGTGACAACCTCCGATTGCAGCGGTTTTCTTCGCTACGGTTTGTTCTTGAAATTTGGTTGAATCGAACTGCTATGCAAGCAAGTATGGAGGCTACGGTTACGCAGCAGCTACAATTTTCTCCGTGGATCAACTCCAAGAAGATTGCTGCAAAACCGAAGGGCTCGCTGCACTTTTCTCGGCGATTAATAGAGCAGCAGATGTTGCAGGCGCCGTTTTCATTCAATCTACAACCGTCAAGACCTCCAAATCACCACAGAACAGCCGCTTTGAAAATTTCCTGTTCTTACAAGAACTCTACAGGTTTGCTGTTAGCGATTTATAATCCATTCATTCAATTTTCTCTTCTTTCTGCTCAAGAAACGGTTACCTATTAATTCGATGGTATTCTCTAGAATTATGCCCAATTTGGGTAAAAGCCAACCAGACCTTAGCTCATCGAATTTTGACTAGCAGTTTTCTTCACTCCAGCGACGTCTACACGTGCTAAAATTAATCTGCTCCAATCTGTTCTTTACCCGTGCTAAAATTAATTTTCCAAAACACGTGAAGTCCCTCATCTTTGTTATTTACCCGTGGTGAAATTAATTTGCTCCAATTTGTTCAAATTTGCACTCTATACTTGGAACAACTTGGAGCACCATTATCAAATGTATTATAAAATGACAATTTCATTTCAACATGATTTTGCTTCGTCGTGAAGTATTTATTTACACATATAGTTGCTTTAGGCACTTGTCAGATTCAGTAGTCTGGAACGCGTGTATTAGGAGTTGGATGAGCGTCTGATGTAGAGTCTGTTAGCAGAATTTTTTGTTTGATATTTTCCGTTGTGAATTCTGGTATTCTTTGGTTGGTTATTTTCCAGCCTGTGAACATTTGATTTGACCATGGTCAAAAAGAAAGATAAAGAGAGAGAATCTTGTTTACGACTTTATGGTTGGTTAGCCTATATATAACTGTTGAGTTAATTAACCTTAACATTTCTCAATCCATTCTGATTCTGAAATATTTTGAAAGTTTCCAWTTATTTTCTTTTGCCCAGTTAGAGAATTTACTGCTTTCTCCCTAATCATTGGACTGAGTTTGGGCCCCTTGTCCTCATTTCTAGCTACAAAACTATATTTGCGAAGGAGAATTTTTCTATTAGAAGAAATTTTCTAAGAAGATTTTAACTTTTACTTTCATGACTCCAGCGTTGGAATCTGGAAACCATTTTGCATTTGTTGACGAATCTCTGACTTTACAGGTATGGTTTTTCTCTTTTTTATTCTTATTTTGCAAGTAGTTACTGAAATTGCTTCCTTTCCTTATGTAATTGTGGGCCTATTGTTTACTTATTTCCTGCTATTAGTTGTTGAGCATTTTTTTCATCTCTAGCCTCACTGGTCATAAATTTGCAGCGGAAGGCCCGGGAGATTGAGCCATATTTAAATGGGCATTGTATTTATCTTGTTGGTGAGTTTCTTTCTTGGAGTACTTCATTACTTTTGAGCTTGTGCAATTAATATTTAAATTCTTCCTACCTATGAAATGCAGGAATGATGGGCTCGGGAAAAACCACTGTAGGAAAAGTCTTGTCAAAGGCACTTGGTTACTCGTTTTGTGACAGGTTTGTTTCATAGCTGCAGGCTCTAGCGGATTTACTAACTTTCATGTCAAATCTGTTACGCTCGTTTCAATTTTGATTTCATAGCAAGGGAAAGATTTATTCTTTCAATTTTATAATTAATTTTAACTTCCGAGGTTTATTGAAAAGCAAAAGCCCAGTAAAATGCAGCTGTGAAATTACACTATCATTGAAGCTGCAAGAGATGAAGAAAAATAACTTTGTTTCCACCATTCATTAAGAAAAGAACTTTGGACCTAGGTTTTTTAAGCTATTATGATTCTGGCATCTGTATTTGGCTTTCCTTGTCTCTGTGTCACCGCACACCATCATTGACAATAAATTTTTCTTGCTGATTACTTGTGCTATATTATGTTTTGGATGCCACAGTGATTCATTGGTGGAACAAGACGTTGGAACTTCGGTAGCTGAAATTTTCAAGCTTTATGGGGAGGAATACTTTAGAGAAAAGGAGGTCAGTGTAGATTTGAAATATTCGTAACACCTTGACTTAATTTACTTCGTATGTTCGTTATTATACTCAAAGTTTATGTTGTATGTTAATTACTATGCTTCCTTCTCTCTCTCAAGTGCCTACATACACAGACAACTCTCCCATTATCTTGTAAACGTTTTTAGCCGTTAAGGTTCACACCAGAACAAGGATTTTGAGCTGCTCTCTCTCTCTCTCGACTTATGTATTAGCTAGGATTGATGAAAGTGATTTTATCATATTTCATCATTTGAGATTTTGTTTTTATTTAGTTTAAGGAATCTAATTCTTTCTTAAACTAAAGCCTCAAACTAGCCTCAAAGGTCAAAGCTAATATCACGATGATAGTGGTCTATAATAACGACTATCGATTACTTTGTTTTTATTTATCTTTCTTCTTAAAGATATATCATGAAAAGGGAATTGCCACATGCCAATAATAAGCCCAACCCGTTCTCTAGGCATTAAATTTTGCCATAGACTCTGAACGTGGTATACTACTACAAATTTCTCACAAGCGGCAAGCTCTTTTTTATGCATATCTGAACTCCAGCACAGAATCTTAACTTTTCTCATTAATATAACAGTGAACCTAACTTTTCTTGTTTCATACAGATGGAGTCATTGAGGAAGCTATCTTTGATGAATCAATTAGTTGTTTCCACTGGTGGAGGTGTCGTTACTCGAACGATGAACTGGTATAGTAAAGACTGACTAGTTGGACACAAGTGTTACATTTTCTCCAGTTGTAATTAAGTTTTCAGTGTCATTAGACTGAGCCTTTGTCTTAAACTTTCCAGGACATATATGGATAAAGGGATCAGTGTCTGGTTGGATGTGCCTTTGAAAGCCTTGGTTAAGAGAATTTCAGCTGTAGGAACCGAATCTCGTCCCCTTTTGCACCAGGATTCAACTGATGCATACTCAAAGGTAGATTTTTTTCTTCATCAATGAAATGTTTCTTATCCACAGAAAAAGAAAGGATATGCTTTTCCTGTACTACCATGATAATGATACCTGACCCAAGTTCATATCACTTGGTACCAGTTTGAGCAAGGAGTTAAATTCAGTGCTTTTTCCCTTCAAGTGCAAATGAAACATGCATGTTATAAACATGATCTCAAAAAGTGTTTTTGTCCTCCTAAAAGAATAAAAAACTACTTGATAAATAATAATTTTAATGTTTAGTTTTAAAATGCACTCTCACATAAAACTTAATCTAATTCCTGTTATTTACAGACCCTCGCCCTTTTATCTACTCTCCTGGAAAAGAGAGGTGAAGCATATGCCAGCGCCCACGTCCAAGTTTCCTGTGAAAGTGAGACATCTCTCCTTTATATGTTATTTATGTATTCTACCAGGGAATGGAGGGAAAAAAAAAACTTTTAAACTAGTCTCTGCTTTTTTTAAGCTTAATTTCTCATATGAAAGCTCAATAATTTTGGTTTTGCAAACCCAATTTATAATTACATTCAAACTACCAACTAAAAGGATGCCATTTAGGGTGAGTTTGAAACATTTTTGGGAGGGTAAAAAGTGATTTTGGCCTATTAAAATACTTTTAAAATTTTTTTTATAGTATTTGGTAGATAGTCGAAAGTGATTTTGAAAATTCTAAGACCACTCCATAGTACTTTTTCAAAATCACCGGTGATACTTTAAAAATCAATTTAAAATAATTTCAAGTTTTTCTAAAATCAATTTTCTAATTTGTCAAACATGATTCATTAGTACTTCTTTAAAAGTGCTTATAAAAGAAATACACACTTAAAAATACTTCTTTCAAAAGTGATCCTAAACTCACCTTAAAAGTGATTCTAAACTCACTTAAAAACACTTTCGCACTTTTTTCAAATGTGATTCTAAACTCACCTTCAATAAAAGTATTGTTAGGCTGTTCATGTACTCTAGGTATCTAAGATCTGCCAATACCAAATGACATAAACCGAGTGTTTCACTTGTGCAGAAATTGCAGCCAAACTGGGCAATAAAGACGCGTCTAACGTCACCCCTATGGCCATAGCAATGGAGGTCTCTCTCTCTCTCTGAACAAAGATGATAATCTACACTACAATTATCCAAAGCGTTTTGACCACGACCCTTTTCATTTCTAACAATTTTTAGCTCGTCCTTGTTTATGTTGTGTTATCCCAGGCACTCGAACAAATCGAGAGTTTCTTGAAGGGACGAGACGATTATTGTGCATTCTAATTTTGACGAACACGAAAAAATTACTTATTCAGGTAATAATAGAAGTTTTACTAAATAGCAGTGAAGTAACTTATCTTTTCACTTGAAATTTCCTTATAAAGTTGTGTGTGTTCTTTTTTTCTGATGTCAGGAACATATGAATAAAGGCAATTGATGAAGCAAATTGGATTTTTTTTTTTTTTTTTTCATTATTTATGGGGCAATCTTCTCTATCAAAGGCATGCTTCCTCCCCAAGGCTCCCACATTTCTTGACCTCAGAAGTGGTTGGTCTAGATTAATGCTATTTGTACTCCTTTTCACAGAAAATGGAGAGATCCAAATTAGGTATTTTTTGGATTTTGATCCGTCGGGATTAATGGGGCTTGAATCCCTAGGCCACTGCCTTCTTTTAAAAACATTTTGCACCCTGAAATGAGGGGCGAAATGCTATTGATTTTAGGCTCATTGACTGCCGCCCCCCTCGTCTTGGAGGCTCTGCGGTCGAGGAGGGGCTTGCCATTGTAACATTTCAACATTTTACTCAATCAGAAGTAGTGTGGTTTGATTTGAATCTTATAAGATGTACGATGCTCCAAGCACATAGAAAAATTAGCAATTTGTTTGCTTTTAAAGAGTCGGTGAAATTGATCTAAGGTTCTCAATAATTTGATGTTTTTATTCATTTAATAGTTTACGTGACACGAATTTTAAAAAATAGTTTAACCAATTGAGCTATATTTTTATATTCATTCTTTTTAATAAATTAAAAGTATTTGTTATATTAACTTCTCGTTCAATCAATGAACATCAATGTCTGGTAAAACGAGGTTGCCTACTTATGACCAAGTAGATCAAGTAAAATACATATGATATCGTGATTCGTATAAAATTTTATATTGCTAATTATAGTTCAATCAATTGAGGTGTTTATCATAAATCAATCCCACATGTCGTTTGAACAACATAGGGGTTTTTGAGTGTGGACAGAAATTTTGATTCTAGGCAGGATGTAGAGTTTTTCATGGGTCTCAGGTGGGCTTCCACCTATCCGATTTCAAGTCTAATGTCACATGACATAATTTAATTGAGCAAACTTGTGTCACATGACGAATTTTGATCGGACTAATTTATGTCATACGTGGCGCAATCTTACTCGACCAACTTATGTCATCAAATAGTCATGATACGATTTGATTGGTCCAATTCAAATGCCGACATATGTCATTATTTAATTAGCCAAAATTTGTTCGTATCTTTTAATTCAAAGACATTTGTCAAATTCTATTTCGTCATGGTAATTTGGGATTTGCTTAGATTTATCATTCAACATATTTTTACATTGTCATTAATATATAGAATGCTATTTTATTGTTTATTTTATTTTTTATTGTTTTTTCCAGGGAAGAGATCATGAAATCTAATAAGAAAACAAAATACACAAAATAGTCTCTAATTTTCTTTGATAATTCTCAAATTGATATTTATTATGTAAAAAGATTGTAAACAAATAGTTGGTCTATCATTAAATCATTATTTTATTAATATATTTGAACACACAACCAAACCTGCCAATTAGTAAAATTTAACTCGTCCCTCAATAAAGTTAAACTCATCCATCCATCAACAAAATTTGCAAAAGAATAATTTGATGGCACATCAACTATTAGTTAATTAATTTAAACCATTTATTTTATAAAAATCTAATTTAGGATTTTTAAAAGGTAAAATTAAAAATTTAAAGAGATAAGTGACCAAGTTGTATAAATTGGTCTAGACATTCGTGGACATAAAAGAAAAAAAAATTGAGAATGAGTTAGTTGAGCTCAACATTTAAATTAAAATATGGACTAAAAATTGTGAAGCTCCATGTAACAACCCGTATTTTCTAATATGGTCATTCTAACAATAACGCGGAAGCATAAACAAATAAACACTATATCAAAGGAAAAACTTCCTTCATTTAATTTGATACTATGACAAAAATGAGGACAAGTCAAACTTTGAAACATAAATCTATACTATAATAAATCCAAAGGTTAACTAATAGAACTAACTAAGTTCCCTCATAGGCTAAAAAAAATGGAAAAATACTAAAGATTCCAACTCTTCGTACCATAACACTATTCCTCAATCATTACCTGAGCAGTCACCTGCATCTGAAAACATTTAGAAAACAGAAGAATGAGTACAAAAATACTCAATAAGCAATTGCCATATCAAACATTGAAATTCATTTTTCCTTTCGAAACATTTGCAACAAAAAATCCAACCGATCAAAACTTTCAAAATTCCTTCTAAAACATTTGGTACAACTTTCAAACTTTCGCATAAACTAAATCATTCAAACATTCAAAACAATGTTACATTCATTCATACTTTCAAAATCATAGTGGGAGGTTGCATTATTTGGGTAGCCTACAGAACATATGTGGTTACCCGTTGGTAACACCAATCAATCAGAAACTTCTATCAAAGTTGTCGAATTAATATCGACCATAACAGAGTTGCCGAAATAATATCAACTAGAACAAATAGAACAGTTATTAAGTGTGAGGCTATATGAGTGAATAACACACATGAATCTTTATTCCCAATAAATGCTAAACCACAAAAGTGTATTCTCACAAATAAGTCAGAACAGAAATCCATAAATTCCAAATTAGACTCATACCCTAAATAAGTATCAAAACAAAAATATGGCATATCCGGATAGCTCTATCAAATCAATCAAAATATCTTTCAAATAAATATGCAAAACAAATACATACTTTCAATATGAAATCAGTTCAAAACATTTAAAAAATTTTAGACAAACTTTATTAAATCATACCAAACATAATTTCAAATATTTTACAAATAACTATAATATCAATTACCAAAATATTTATCAAATCCATAATAAAACATCAATTTCATAGGCATGACATAAATTTCAAATCTTCATATCAAATTCAAAATAAATTTTAGTTTTGGAAGAGATATAGCAAATGGATATGGTAAATCACTTAACTCTCTCGGAAATCCTACAAATCTAACTCGGTAGTTGTCAACTTAGAAACAACCAATATCCAAAATCAATTCTTAAATTCTATCCAAAGATTTAAATTCAACCAATTACTAAGCAAACCTTATCTACCCAATTTTCCCATTCAAAACACTTTTTTTGTGCAAAACAATTAGGAAAGTATGGATTTGGGGCTAAAAAACCAGATCTGAAAACGGATTAAAAAGCCTCTAAATTCAACGATAACAAACTTTTAAATTACAAGAATCGGTATAAATTAATACATATTAAATTTATAAAAAGTTTCTCAACAAAACAAGCTTAAAAACCTTATAAACAATTGAAAATTTGAGGATTTTAAATCTGGATAATTTTTTGTTCTATAAAATAAAACTTTCAAGAATTTTCCATAAAACAATTAACAATTTACTGATTTTTATAGAAAAATCAGATCTAAAAATTGTATAGAAAACCTTTAAAATTTGGTAAAAACATACAATTTTTCATGTAAAAACCAGAACAATAAACTATAGTTCATGAGATACAAATATGTAAACTTTTTATGCAAAAAGAGTTTCAAAATAGCCCAAAAATAGTCTTATAAACAACAAGATTCAAACAAAAAATTTTGGAAAATTTTTAGGCAAAAAGTCCTTAAAATCTTTTATTCTAAAAAACATAGACCTCAAAACTAAAACAATGAGGACGAAAAACTTACCGACCTTTGAGATAAAATACCAAAATTATTCTTGTTTGTTTTTCTTTTTCTCTTGAGAGAAAATTAGGTTTAGCAAAAATAAAATCTAGGTTTAAGGGCTTTTAAAACAAACCCTAAATAAACTTTTTTTTAAAAGGATAACATGAAAAGATAAAGATTTAATAAAAAGCTTTCTTTTTATATTTTTTAATTCTAAAAACAAATTATCTTTTAAAAATAATTTTTTTAAAATAGAAAAGGTTTATCTTTGGGAGAATAAAAGGAAACAACTAAAAAAAATCTAAATATATATATTTATATATATTTTTTCGGTTGTTACACTCTAAATGGTAAAGGAGATTACCTTTCTGCCAACAAGAGCGGGATGAAAGCTTCTTTCTCTTTTCATCTTCTCAATTCTAAGTTGAGCATCAAAGTGTTCGGCTCTACATCGGTCACCACCTTATTTCAAGTTTAAAAGAATCTCAATAGAATATCATTAAATTGTTTTAATTAAAGAAGTAGATTAAAAAACTAGAAAAAGAAATTCAACTTTTATCTTTAATTTAGGTAAGGGAGTCAATTTTAACTTTAAACTTTCAATTTTAAATTGAGAGAAACCTTTTGGTATTATGCGGATTTTAAAAAACTTAATGTAAGTGTACACAAACTGAGTAGCAAGTGATAAAAAGATCGAACCCACAAAAATTGATAAACTAAACACTTCAATAATCACTTAAGAAATAAGAAAAACAAATAAAAATTTGTTTTAGCAGTTGGCTAAATTTTGCAAGTAAATATGCATAAATCTTAGAGTAACAATATTAAAAACACTCTGGGAGGTAGGATGGGCAGTTGGTCAGATCTAGTATGGATTGTACATGGACGGTAGTTGGAGTCGGCGACTCTCCTAGGGTTCCCTCATCTGGGTTCTCTAGGGAAGAGGATCAGATTGAAATGTCATTGAATGTATCCATTTTGATTCTAATAGAATCAAATTCGATTAGATATTAAAAATAAGATAAGTAAATGGAGAATAGAAAAAAAAACAAAGGGAACAAAAAATTCTAGAAGGGATTATTCGTCTTCCTAGTCTTCGGGCTCAAAACCACGAATCAAGAAAGAGAGATTAAGGCTTTCAACGATTGGGGGGGGGGGGGGTTGTATCTACTTTACTTTGATGCTACTGATCGATGCTCCAACAATAAAGATGTTAGCGAGACTGGCCAAACCAACACGACATCTTCCTAGAGTGCCTAGATTTTATGCTATTCTAATAGTATTAGAACAACACCTCTTAACATAGTTTTTAGCCATGCTAGGTGAGTCTTATTCCTAAGTATCCACACTCTATACTTAAATGTAGATCTAGCACGAGTTAAAGTCACTCTCTCTAATACAATCTCTCAAAAATTAATAAAGAGTTCACACAATATGGTGATCAATCACATTGAACATAATAAGATTAAAACAAACTTTAACTCAGCATCAACATCTTTATAAACCAGAGTAAAGCTTACAACCACCCCCCCCCACCCCACTTGTTTAGCTACTCAATGCCATAACAAAGAAAAAGAAAGGAAGAAATGCCAAGCTCATTTGCTGATAGATACAAAAGAAGAAAGAATAATAGAAAACAGTAAAAATCTTGCTTCACGCTTCTCCTTCTTTAGGTCATTCTTCTTGTTCCTCAGGGTCCCTCTCTTTGCTTTTCGTGCTCTACGAATTTGTGTGGAGTGAAAAGAATGTTGGATGCAGCCTTCAAAGCTTTTATATCCATCCTTAATTTTAGGTCAACAAAATGAATAAAGTGTGGCCCAGCTCAGATTTAAGGTGCTTTTCCATTTTTTACTACTATAAGTCTTGGGGAAACCA